TCCTTAGGCAAGGCACTTCACGCACATTACTGAGAATGAGTCTGGTGTGTGTGTGAATGGTTGATGGAGGTGGGAAAGGGCACATGGCACATACTGGTTGCGTCGCTTCTAAGTGTATGAATAATTAAAGATTCAAGAATTTATTTGCCATTTGCAGTAAAACCACATTGGAAAAATTGTGCAAGACTAACCCAGTGTGCCCCAGACAGAAGAAAGCACCAGAGCTTTCTTCATGGAAAGCTCTGGTGCATGGGTCCGTCTTGCAACGGACCCATGCGACATGAATAATGACATGTGGAGCGTCTTTGAGTGTCAATATTATTATTAATATTTGTTTTGACATTGCTTTTTCATTCCTTCATAAATATAAATAGATTCAAGTGTTCAAAGTGGTCAAATATATTTTTCTAACCCGATTAAATCATAATTTTTCCACACCACTTTCCTGATACAGTGATATTAATCTCTGTTCTACCAAAGCCCAAGCCTCTGTGCACCTTTAAGTCTTGCAGAATAAGCTTTGATTTTCCTTGTCACAAATTCCCGCATGAATGGCTGTTTTAAATGTGTGCTCTGGAGTTAAATAGCCTCAGATTTGGTGGGTCAAACAAAAGCAGAGACTCAAATTAGTCAAATGCCGTGCCACATTGGACACAGCATGTACTAATTCCCAGTGAGCTCAGTCCATTTTAGATTCCGCTCACTGTGGCTTATTAAACACTAATCATTGCATTATTATAATAGCAGAAACTTTTGAGATGTATAGCTCATTAATTAGGAGAGGTCTGTCGGACAATGTAGTTGAGTGGAGGCAGAGAGAATAAAATTGACTATAAATCACAGATGGACTTTTTAAGGAGAAATCTGCTGAGTCATCAAGTCCTGATTATTGGGTGCACCTTCTCTTGCAGATTAATGCAAAAGGGTTTAAGTCAGTCGTCTGAAAAAAGAGATTGAAGCACAATGTGTTCTTATTGTATTGTTGTGCTCATGGGCAAGACATTGTAACTAAATTGTCATATGTGTTGGACATGGACAGAATAGGAGAAGGGTTGATATTAGTCTTATGCTGCAGTAGTTGTTGTAATAGGAGTACTAGAAATACTAATAATAACTACAGATCTCATGTGTTTTTTTCTTTATGCTCATCAAAAACCAAACTGCCTCAAATTTGCTCAGATATCATTATTCTGAATCACAGGAAAAGAAAGGTTTTCTATTCACAGATTGCAGACGTCCGTCCTGTGAATAGACATGGTAATTGTATAATGTGCAATTACATTATACAGGAATATGAATACAGAACGACTGCTCTTATCGAGGTAAAAATGGAGGACCTAATTTTCACAACATGATGCATAGTACTAATTTTGTAGCACTAAAAGCAATTAGGTATGATTCACATGCATTTTCTGTGGTTAAAAGAAAGCCAAATGATATAGTAAGATCACATGTTATCGTCTGATTTGTTCACAACTGGTTACTTTTACATGACTCTTTTTGTTGGGAAAAATAAAATCCATCCATCCATTTCAGATTCAGATTCATTTATTTGCCATTTGCAGTAAAACCACATTGGAAAAACTGTGCAAGACTACCCCGGTGTGCGCCAGACAGAGACGACACACACCAGAGCTCTTGCCACGGCGCCATCTTTTCCGGCGCCATGCGACAAACAGTAGAATAAACAGCAGAGAGCAATAACATACAGGTTACAACAGACAGTTGGATAGAAAACATTGTGCTTTGTATAAACCACGGATTTTTTTTCGGGATGAGCACCTTCCGCAGCCGGCCCAATGTGGCTGTCAGAGGGGGGCCGGGTCAGGGAGGGGGTGAGCCGGAAACACAGTGAGGAGGGGAGGGGAGGGAGAGATCAGAGGGAGGCGGGGGGAGCGGGATCCAAGCTGGAACTGACTGAAAGAGTGTGAAATTGTTGTAGAGTCCAGATTTATTATCATGGCCTTGGTCCGAGGAATGTGAGATAAGAGTGGAGGGAAGACACAGCAAGGAGAAAAACACATCTTCCTGTAACGAGGGACAATAATATTGTATGCATTTTAGCAGTCAAAAACAGGCAGCTATTCTATTAAATCCAATTAAACCGAATTGCGGCGCCCTCAGACCCCGTACACAGGGGCCAATCCAAGCCGGGTCAGAGAGTTCAAGCGTGACAAACAATGTCATTCAATCAAGTGAACGAGCTGCGAGATCTTTGATCAACTGTTCCACTAACACCACTCTTCTTTGTCCAGCCACAGCGCTCTCAACCACGACTCGGTTAAGCTCCTTGTACATCCCATCAATTTTGTTGGCCAGCAGGTCGTGAATCTTGCGAACTGCCATGCCTCCGAATTTATGGTAGAATAGAACCGCTCCAAGCCCAAACAGGAGGATCCCCACCACCAAAAAGCCAAAGATATATACGTCTTCCGAATCTTCAATGGACAGGGTCGACAGACAGAGGGGCTGCCACTTGTTCCAGCTGTCAAGCGTATAACCCGCTGGTGAAGTCCCGTCCGGGCACTCGGGCTCTCCAGACCCGCGCTTACGTGTTGAAAAGATAGAATCAATTGAGCAAGCAGTCAGAAGCAGGAGCGTCTGAGACACGTCTTTGCTCGACGGAGGCGGAAGAAAGAGTTTTCATCCCCTTAATCCATTTCTGGGTCGGGGGTGGCAGTCAGAGCTGCACCCAGTACACAGAGCACCAGCCCAATATTCATGAAATAAAGTTTGTTTTCCCATATTTTATATCATATCAGGGTATATTCAATTTCAGTCTCAATCGGCGCCACATACAGTACATGTGAAAGTCTGTCAGATGTTACAACTCTGGCTCAGGAGTAGCAACAACAAGGGGAAACCACACAAGCAATATAATTTTTAAAGTATTTAATCAACAAAAAGTACATGAACGTGCATCAGTGGTGTGTGCAGTGTTGTGGGTGTGTGAGCTGAATCAGTTTGTGGATAAATCAACTAAACTAAACAAAGGTAAAAGTGGAGCAGCCGATGGTCTGGTCAGCAGAGGAGAGAGACAGAAAACTGTGATGCATTTAAGCTGAAGAGGGCAGGTGGAGTCTGGGTCTGGCAACGCCCCCAACATCCTGTCCTGACAAGGAAGCAGAGCAGGGGCCGATGGCACATACTGGTTGGCTCAGTTCTGCCAGTGTGCCCCATGGCAGCTGTGGCTACAGTAGTAGTTTATCACTACTGTGCACAGAGTGTATGAATAATGACGTGTGAAGCGTCTTTGGGTGTCCAAAAAATAAATAATATTGCCCATATTGACAATACCCATTTTGAAATATCTGAATCAATGAAACACGGCCTATCCCCACAGTGAGATGTGCTGTCATTTTTCAACCTGCTCCACGGCAAGTGACATGTGAGAATGTAAGGCCCAAGTGTAGACAACACTATACAAACTGAGTAAGAAAAGCTTTTCTTACTTCCCTAGTTTCCGTACAAACCCGAACAGGCATAAATCTCGCGGTGTCGTCCCTATTGCGTTTGCTGACCCACATAACAGACTAAACAAACCAAAATATTGTGCATGTAGGCATTCTTCCTGGACGCCATTGCTTCTCCTCCAGCCATTTCGTCTCACCTAAATCATGTAAGGATTGCACACGGCTCACTCCATCAATATCTGCTGTAATGGCTTTTATGAACGTGAAACACCTGCAGGAGCTGGCCGCCTCGGGCTGCCGTCTCGGTGGCGCCACTTGCACTCCCTGCCTTATTTATCAGGCTTTCTGCTTTTTAATTAATGCCATTTCCTAGATGAAAGCCATGATTATAGCTCTTTGGGGCTGGGGAGGAGAGAGGAACCACCACTACAATGAAATTTTGATGAAGCAGACCTGTACTGATTTGCTTGGCTTGCACACACTCTACACGTTTTCATCTTTTGCTGCCAGTTTGAATTGTTCCTTGGAATTACAGGCATCAAGATTACACTATGGTTGTAATTATTCATGAACAATACAATAATAAAAGTCATTGTCAAGGGACAGTTTGAGGCAATTGTAATTCTTTCATTCACTTCAGTTCCGTCCTTGTTTGAGTCAAAATAATGAGAAAAGATATTAAAAGAGTTACATTTTATTCAGCCTTGCTTTTCTTTTCCTTGGCCATTTCTTGTTGGATTCTGCAGACAATTTTGAATAGATGGATAAAAATCTTTCGGAATACCAGTGGTCATGATAGATAGATAGCAATAGGCAAAAGTAGCCACTCTATGATTTAAAGCGGTGAAAAAAGCACCACACACTTTTTGCACTTTTCCAACTGTTGAAGCGCAATCACAGAAAGATCAAACTTGGTTATTGTAGGTCTGAGTGCTGCTGCAGCTGTCAAAAGCCGTGCAAAAATTGTAAAAATACGCCTGCAAAGGACACTACGTTGAGGAGGAGGAGCAGGATTGTGAATATAAACATTGCGGTGCACACAAGCCACAAACGCATACTTCTGACCGTAACTGTAATTTTATACTAGATTATTTGATGTTTTTATCGGAGTATACAAGTGGCCGATGACGATATCAGCTTTATTTGCATAGCAGTTTTAGCACAACACCAGCTGCCCAAAGTACATGCTTCACAGGCACAAAAGATAAAAAAAAAGGCAAGCAGCATTAAATACATACTAATACATATAAAAGTTGGTGTTAAAAGCCAAGGTGTAAAATTGTATCTTTGGACAAGATTTAAAAACATACAATGACGGAAAATGAGAAGCATGCTGTAAAACCAATTGTACACAGACAGATCAGCAAAAGATTAAAGTGGCAAAAGTCCACGTTTTATATTCAGAGACCACAGTAGTTCACGGTAGTTACAGTAGATAGATACAAAGATAGAGCGGTGGATTGATAATTACAATTTAGATTTTTTGCTATTGGAAGTAATGATGTTTTTTCTCACTATGTTTGAAACGAAAAGTGTTTTTTGTTTGTTAATGTATTATTATAATTTGTTTGTATTGTCCATCTCCAGGTTTCGATGAATACTTTACTGGCCTGACCCTTGCTACCAACAGGAGAAACGTGTGGTTTGCTGAGTATTGGGAGGAAAACTTTGACTGTCGACTCCTGAGTACGTCCAAGAAAGAGGATACAAGTCGTAAATGCACAGGTATTTTATAACACATTCATACTTTTAATGATTTATCAGCCGTCATGAAAATGTGTGGCCACTCCTCCAGTTTCCAGTGTTTTCAGAAAAAATCCAACCATACAGAAGAGACAATAATATTAAAGTATATATACTATTTTCTATTGTATTAACATTTGTTTTATATGTCACCAGATAAAAGGTCACAGGTACAGATGTTATTTGACCTTTTCTCAACCATAGTTTAAAGATTGAATAATGTTAAAAATAGCATTCATGTGAACGGTTTTTAAGCAGATTGTCCAATCAGAGAGCAGATTGAGTCTCATTTGGGTTGCCAGTTTGTTGAATAAAATATAGCCGGTTTTGGCTTCTTCTTTGTTATTATCTATAACAATAGATAGATATAAATTCACACAAAAAGTCACATTCTTATGGAAGCAGATACAGAGTATGCAGTCTTACATACAGACGGTTCTGATTCTAGCTAAACTTGTGATTCTGCTACATGTGTCACAGGCAGGAAAATTGTAATTGTATTGCTTATTATATACTGTCCCTTTAATGGTGCATTTTCATTGTGTCAAAAAAATACTAAAGTAGTGGTCAAGTCCATGTTTCTATTCACAAAGAACCATAATGTTGGACCTCCTATTTCCACACCACCTTCCTGATACAGTGATATTAATCTCTGTTCTACCAAAGCCCAAGCCTCTGTGCACCTTTAAGTCTTGCAGAATAAGCATTGATTTTCCTTGTCACAAATTCCCGCATGAATGGCGGTTTTAAATGTGTGCTCTGGAGTTAAATAGCCTCCGATTTGGTGGGTCAAACAAAAGCAGAGACTCAAATTAGTCAACTGCAGTGCCACATTGGACACAGCATGTACTAATTCCCAGTGAGCTCAGTCCATTTTAGATTCCTTTGAGTGTGGCTTATTAAGCACTTATCATTGCATTATTATAATAGCAGAAACTTTTGAAGAGACCCATTGAGAGTGAATACAAAGGCCATACAGACAGTTTCACAGTTATTTTGGTCACTAACGACTAATCTAATCACGTAGTAACTTTCACCTTGTTTACTATGTGTCACATAGTGTTTAATCACACACATCTCTCTGCAGATAAAGGTGTTTCGGAATGTAAAATGTGTGTTTGTGTGTGTGTGTCTGCCTCACTGTCATGACTGTTATATCTGTTTCATTAGAGAATAACAGATGAAATAGTGCTAATAATAAAAGTCTGGGGATTTCTTTTCTTGCATACTGAATTTATCCATTGTGAGATAATAAAGTACATCTCTCATCTCATCTGCATGTTCTCGCCATCCCTGTGTCTGTGTAGGTTTCCTCCAGGTGCCCCGGTTTCTCCTACCACTTAAAACGTGTATAGTCCAGGGTGAATGAGTGTGTGTTTGTGAGTGTGGGACAACAGATGCCAATTAGCTAATGGCTACAATCTGGAGAGGTGTGATTATTAAAGGTCCTATATCACGCTTTTCTTCATGTTTCACAGTCAATCCTAAACACATGTGTGATAATAATGTGCGTGATACGCCATACAACACTCAAAACTTGTGATATTATAGCCATCTCTTGTATAGAAGTGACGTCACCTCATCTCAAACGAGCTGAATCAGAGATCAATCAATCAATCAATCAATCTTTATTTATAGGGCGCTTTTCCTGCACAGGGCAACACAAAGCGCCTCACAGTCCACACCACACAATGCACAAATATACAATTAAAAACACATATGTAATTAAAAAGCATTAAAATCACATAAGTAATTTAAAAACATAAAAATCACACAAGTAATTAAAAACAATAAAATAGTTAAAAACACAAAAAGTTACAACAATAAATAACAAGGTGTGTTAAAAAGATAAAATTCTCTAGTTGTATGCACGGGAAAAAAGAAAAGTCTTTAACATGGATTTGAACATTGACAGAGATCAGTCTGCTCCTCTGTCTGTGAGCCCACCTCCCCCTGCCCGCACGGTGACGTACCATAACGCTCTGAGTTGTTTATCACCGGTACTTAGTAATTTGAGACAGACATGAGAATAAACTTTTTCCAACAATGACAATCCGTCACATTGAGCCCTATGTCCTTGATCCACAATCAGACCCTAATTATTTAGTTTACAGAAGTATACAGCGAGTTAGCATCACTGTACTCACAGAACAGGGGGGTCCGTGTTACGTCTTTTATCGTGCGAATAACACATGTTTCCAGATCAGTTTTTGAGTAAGTCCAGTTTCATTGATCCTGTAGTTCTGGAACAGTCTCAGTGAAGTGTCGCAGATGAACCATTATTATAATAGATCCGAGATGAACAGATGAAAAAAGTCGAGCCGCTTTCTTCCGCCGCTTCAGGGTAAATAGTGCGTCACATATTTACACCCAAAACACATTTTATCCAAGTTGACGTGATCCTAACACTTTTAGTTGCTTACAAAAACAGAAAAACAGCAGCTCTATGTGGTGTCCGCGAGACCAAGCCACAGACGCTGGACTCGGGAGCAGGACTTGGGAGATAGCTACGCGCTCTGATTCGCTGTTTGCATCTGTCAATCAACTCCTGCCGGCTTTTACTATTATTTTTATTTTTATTATTTTTGACAACAAACAGCATAATTATTGTGTATTGTTTACCCCGTTTTGACAAAAGTATTTAAAAACCATTTCAAATACAAAACAAACGGGATATGCCCGTCATATTCGTCATCAGAGTGGTAATCGTCACTGAAGTGGACCCGAGCGTTTGTGTGCCTCTTGAGAGTGAAGGAGAGAGATCGCTCTCTTACTAAAGATTGACAGAATCAATGAAAAAACTACTCTGGGCATGTATATGAAGGCCAAATAGCACTGTAATCATGTTTAAAGCAGAGAAAAGTCAAAAAGCGTAATATGGGCCCTTTAACATACACTGTTCCAACCAAATAATAATGTGGAGAAGTAACAAATAACGATCTTTTTAAAATCTCTTCTCAACACAGTATAATTAAGAACAAGAATCCGTGATTACAGCAGTCAGTGACCAGATCTAAACACTCACTGACAAAGACTATAGAGCAGAGAATATATTTAGACAGATATATGTGTGTGGTCGTCGGATGGATGTGTTCTTGACCTTTTGGCTACATTCATGCTCCACATGCTCCTGTGTATTTTTCAGATCTCGTCTCACAGTGAAAGTGGTAGCACCAGGTGTTTTGCCCAGCGGGTGCAGGCGGGACAGTTATTATTAGACCACGACACATTTCCAACTCACAATGTTGAGCTGCATACCTGTGTTTTATATTGTCAGACCCAGTCACCTTGGTGCCCTGCTACTCTATTTTAGATGCTTTTTGAACCGATACAGTTCAAAGTGTCCTTTCACCGAGAGCCACAAGCTGAAACATAATAGAGGACTGCATAGGAACAGAGAGAAGAGGACTGCATGGGAACATGGAGAGAAGAGGACTGCATAGGAACATGGAGACCGTAAAGCATCAACATTGGCACTGAGTCTTTGAAAAAGGCTTGTGATACAAAGATTTGCTCTGATACCATCAAAACATCCCGCACCAGCCAAAAATGCATAATAAAGAAGGAAACAAAAACATATATAAGTCGCACTAGAGTATAAATTGCCTTTTTTGGGGAAATTTATTTGATAAAATCCAACACCAAGAATAGACATTTTATCTTGAAAGGCAATTTTTTTGTGGAAAAGAGAACAGCAAGATGAATAAGTGTACGTTATATGAGGCATAAAGAACAAACTGAAAACGTGCCTGGATTGTAATTTAACATATTACGGTTACAGTCGTTCAAATAACTTTAGCTTAGGCCCAGCAGAGGATGCACTTCCTGCTCAGGAAAGCCAAGCTGCCTGCACAGATGTTGGTGCAGTTCTACACGGCCATCATCGAGTCCATCCTCACCTCCTCCATCACCGTGTGGTTCGCTGGAGCCACAGTCAGGGACAACCAGAGACTACAGCGCATTGTGCGCTCTGCAGAGGAAGTGATCGGCCGCAGCCTTCCATCGCTGCAGGACCTGTACGTCGCCCGAGCTCGAGGCCGGGCTGGTCGTATCACAGCCGACCCCTCTCACCCTGCACATGGACTATTCCAACCACTCCCCTCAGGCAGGAGACTGCGGTCCATCGGGACCAAAACCTTCCCCTATAAGAACAGTTTCTTCCCCTCTGCTGTTGGACTCTTGAACACTCATATCCTGTCCCCCCGCCCTTTATAAGTCTTACGGCCCTTTAAAAAGCCACCGTACTGTCCTTCATTAAGTCACTTTACTGCCCATCATAACGTCATTTTACTGCTGTCACCTTATTGCACTGCTTACCGCATATTGGCCCTCATTTATGAAACTTGCACAGAAGGTGTAAATTTTGGGTGTAGATTCCAGATACGCAAGATCCGACGTGGCATTTATGAACGTCGGATAAATATGATGTTGTTCATGCTTATGTAAAAATAAATATACACTATATACTACGCTACGCTATTTATTCAGCTGCGTTTTGAACAAATATGCAAAATTGTTTTGATAAATTAGAAAAGTCTCTCTTGAATTGTAGAATGAATGAGTTCATATATATTGTGCAGCGTGGCTCTCATCAATGAAGCGTCTGCAGCCTCTTCTGAATGCACTGAAGCGCTGTACACTTGAGAGAGCGTTTGCGGTCCAGATTTTACAGAGAAACTCTGGAGCCAAAACTTCTGAATGACAGTATTTGAGGAGTTACTGTATGTATCTGCTGTGGATGCACTCCCAAGAGTGCGCAGCGGGTGGACAGGGCAGTGAGACATTTGGAGTGAGCAATACCATAGTCCATCGGTCCATGCGTTAATGGGGTGTGTCTGTGTGAGGCTTACACATATCTAATGAAAACATACATTGCTTTACCAGATGTGTATGAATAAAACAAATAGCCGTGCATACTTACGCAGCGCAGAGCCTGCCACAGCAAAAGATGGGTCACACATCCCTGTCGAGTTATTTGTATAGAGCCTTTCACAGTCCAGGATCACAAAGCGCTTCACATTTTAAAAACATTCAGATCAAAATAATAGCTTGGAATTTTGCCAGAGTGGAACATGTTTCTTGTTGTCCACATCTTGGCGTGTTGTTATGAATGAGCGTACACATTTACACCAACTCCTGACTTCTTCTTCCTCAATGTCACTTCTGAATAACTCCGGCATCTCCAAAGATATATAAATTATATAGTTTAAAATGTCATAATTTCACACATAAGTGGCTCCCGAGTATACGTCACACCCCCGGCCGAACTATGTAAAAAAGTTTTAATCCAAAAAATATGGTAGTTTTACATTGCTTGTTATTCTTGACAGTGACTGGTCACTTAGTAGTTGATGCCTGTTAGAAACTGGAAATATAAGCTCAAAAATGCTTTATGTAACACGCAGGGTGGAGTAGAGAACCTGCTCATAGACTGGCTCTGTGAAATGAGCCAAAATGTCAACATGCGGCTGACCGCTTCTGTCACATTATGTATTCAACAGTTGTGTCAAAACGCAGTCGGTCAGCGTCTTGGACTGGAAATAACATCATAATTACATCCACAATGATGATTATTACAAGTAATAGATAGTCATTTGCGCTCGTCTATGTGGAATAGATTAGTGTGCGGCTGTGATTTGATGAATGGAGATGATCTTGGCAAAACAGTTCAATTTCAAAGAACAGAGAAATTGCAGCAGATGCAGGTTTTGTATTCGGGTGGTGTAGGAGACAGACGCAGTAGTGAAAGGCCAGCAGCAGGAAGCACAGATATGGGCAACAAGACAGAGGCTGCGTGGGAGAGTTGAAATTCATAGAAGGAATGTCCAAAAAAAATGTTTAATCCATAACTGTGATTAGTCAGGTCACAAAGTAATCTTGAAAAAATAATCACTTTCACATTTCCATTTTTACTTTTTAAAGTCTGCATACCTCAGTTAACTTGCCTTTTGATTTCATGAAGTTGAGTTTGGGTTACATTGTGAAAAGGACAAAAGTTGAAGTGCTAGACTTTAGAAGGAAAAACTGTTAAGTGATTTTTTTTGTCATATTTTAAAAAGGAGATTAATGTTTTAATGAAAAAGAAGATATACTTTATTGATCTCACTATGGAGGAATTTTGTTTGATGACTAGTCATTTACACATATAAAAACATATCACATCAAGACATGCAGCGTGCTGTTACTTCCGAACTCCTTATAGACAAAGTGGGGTGAAGTGTCTTGCCCAAGGACACAACCACAGCAGACAGCAGTGGGAGTCGGTGGAGAAGGACATAAAATCCCTTTAGTTAGGAATATTAAGATTGATTGTGCAGGCCTTTATAGCTCTGTTTTATAACCTGCTTGTTTCATACCCCAAAACAACATGCTAGCATATATAACCTCCTGGTACCTGTACCTATAATGGCAATAACATTAACATTAACATAACATCTCAGTATAAACTTCATCCTGTTTATAATGTTATTTTAATAGACTGAGGAAGGCCACAGTTTGGACGTGTTGGTTTCCCATAAAATGAAAATAATCCTAATATCCCTGTCTGATTGCCTCGGTCCTATTGCAGCACATTGCAACAAGGTTAGCTACTTGTGTGTGAATGATCCTCTCTTCAGGAACCACTGGTTTAAATAAACACTCACAAATGATACGAAGACCTCCTAATTAAAGATACACAGGCTTCTCTTTTTTGTTTCATTGGCAAATCTGACAATGGAAGTATTAAAGACTAATACCACTAGAAACGTGCAGGATTCACTGGAGGAAGTGTGTGTAGATAGGGAAGTCTGGGTGTCTCCTGCCCCCACGACACGGCAACGGATAAAGCAGAAGAAAATTGATGGATGGAAGGATATAAAAGAAACGTTGTAGTATGTTTCGAGAAGTGCAAATACTTGTAACAATGTGAGGTTTTTCTCACATCTGTTGTAGTTACAATTTGTGATATAGTTCAGAGTAACGTTTTAGGATGAGATAAGATAGACTTTACCGATCTCACAGATGGAGAAATTCACATGTCAGATTTGGCCTCGATAGAATCACTCAGATTGTGCAAAAGACAAAAGTGTGCAAACATGTTAAAGTTAAAAAGGTTAAAGAATAGACAAATACTTTATACAATACTTTCTCCTCAGTGTGTTTGGGAGGCCTGGTGTGCGTGTCTGCTGCCCTCGGGAATCTTTCAGCGATTACACAAATGGCGACGTCGCTAAATGAAAGTAATACTTATTCCCGCTGCTTCCAAGTAGAACTCGGTGTAATCTCCCGTTAGGACTGATTGGCCAGTTGACTCTTCTGGTAATAGCTCCAAGTTTGACAAATATACACTATTAGAAAAAACTTTTGGTAAATTATAGCTATAGTATTCGAAATGTAGAGTGAATATTGCAATACAAATCTTACTTTAGGAGACATCATTATGAAGCTTGAATTATATCTTACCATGAATCAGTTTGTTATATGTGTTTCTAATTTATGCATAGGCAATAAAACAACATCAAATGATTGAATTCTGTAAGTTTAGCTCAATACATCACATTGATTAAAAAGTTTCTAAACGGCTAATTCTTTCATTTTAAAAACAAGTTTGAGAAGAAGGATTTTAAAGTGGGTTAGGCAGCTTTCAACCATAGAAAAAAATAACAATGTAAGAAATCTATGTAACTAGTTCCTATCTCTCAAAGCAGTTTGATTCTGTCACTAGTTCTCACATGCATGCATTTAGATAGGGCGGCTGTGGCTGAGTGGATAGCACTCTCGCTTCTCAGCAAGAAAACACTGTGTTCGAAGCCCGGTTGGAACAGGGCCTTTCTGAGTGGAGTTTGCATGTTATCCCTGTCTCTTCGTAGGTTTCCTCCAGGTGCTCCAGTTTCCCCTACCACTAAAAACATGTACATGAAAAGACATGTCTGGCATTTGCCTCTTGTACTGGCGACCCCGCTCCCATCTCTGTGTGGAGTGAGAGAGAAATGCCCACATTTGTAAACCGCTTTGTGACTCTGGTCTGTGAAAGGCGGTATATAAATACAGATTACTTACATACTTACTTACTAGCCGATCAGGCAAATATACACTGACGGAATGCTAACTTTTTGAAAAATGTTAACAAATCTGCTCTGCATTACAGCAGAGCATCGAAAATCGTACGAACCAAGCGGCTACTCCACCTCTGCTGCTGTGACCTAAAGTGCTGGTGCATTTTATTTTTACTATTTTTAGAATGATCAATTTATCTGTTTTGTTTGTGTGGATGGATGTGTTTTGGCTGCTACTAGACATGTTTGTTTTTCCTGCGGGGATATCTAGATGAATAGCTATTTTCATTTACATACATTTTTGGCCTTGGTCACATTTTAGATCAGCTTTTTAGCGAGAAAGGTGCAAGGACCTAGTGCATCAACTGTGCTATGACCATAAACCTGCCTTGCTTCTGTGTTTCTTACACAAAGGACAGTGATGATGATCCAGGACACTTGACATTCAACAACAGACTGGTCATTTGCCTGTTATGGACCAATGGCTCTATGTGTTTCTATCATTGCATTTCTTGTGTTTCATTCTCTGATCTGCGTCGGTAAATTCAACGGTTTTGTAATGTCCTCCGAGGTAACTACTGCTGTGATATAGGGCTATAAAAGAACAAATTCAATTGAATTAGAATACATTACAGTACAATTTATTCTTGTATAGCCCTAAATCACAACAGTATAGTCATCTCTTGAGTGATTCTATACATGCCAGAAAATCTATCTTATCTTATCTTAACAAAACCATTGAAATCCCCAACACAGATCAGAGAATCAACAGTTAATTGAATTTTACATGTTGGATGTTAAAAGACTTTCTCTGCATTAAGGTTATCCATGTAACTTGCATTACTTATATAGAAACAAATCTGCAGCCCAGCTTTAAAAACACACGCCTTTTTGTTGTTATATCTCCAGGTCAGGAGAGGATTGGAATCGACTCGAAGTACGAGCAGGAGGGGAAGGTGCAGTTTGTGATTGACGCGGTGTACGCCATGGCCCACGCGCTGCACGACATGCACCGCGACCTGTGCACCGACCACCCCACGGTCTGCCCGCTCATGGAGGCGGCAGAGGGCAAGACGCTTCTCAAGTACATCCGCAACGCCAGCTTCAACGGTGAGTGACACACAGCACACACTCACGCACACCACTGACGGATTAGATAAGAGGAACCATCATTAATAATAATTCATCTCTCTCTCTGAAACTTCCCCACTGTGGGACGAATAAAGGATTTGTTAATCTTAATCTTAATCTCTCATAGATGTGCACATTACAGGAGAATTAAAGGAGAACTAAGAGAACACACTTCAAACAAGATCTATTTATTTATCAAAACCTGGAACAGTCCCTGAGCTTGTAAGACAGGCCACGTCCTTGAAAATGTGCGACTAATTTGAAGAATGTATCTTTTTAAATGTCTTTACTTTGATCTTTCTTGCTGATTATTTTGCAATATGTGTCACATGGATTTAAGATTAGATAAGATAAAATAGACCTTCTTGACCTCACACAGGAGAAATGTACATGTCACATTTGGCATAGATAGAATCACTGACATGTGCAAAGACAGAAGTGTGAAAACATGTCAAAGGCTAAATATAGTCTGTTCAGGATACATTATGTACAATAATAAAGTGGCAATAAAAAAAAGAGGAATTTGTGCTATTTCTGCACTCTGGGTTACACTGACTTGTGCCTTATACATTTGATTGGTATTAATTAACATAATAGAAATTACAATAAATTACAAGATGATAAACTCTGGAAACTGGGAAATGACCAATAATAGGACTGGTAATCCATGTAACTAATTACCTACATGAATAGTAATCCTTTTAACTAATAATCCATGTTACTAGTAATCTATGTAATTAGTAATCAATGTAACTATTAATTTATGCAACCAGTAATCCATGTAACTAGTAATCCATGTAACTAATAAATCATGTAACTAATAAATCAATGTAACTAAAATAACTAGTAACCAATGTAATTATTAATCCATATAACTAGTTCCTGGCTCTAATGCAGTTAATTATCATTAGTATTCACGTGCATGTATTTTTGTCCTCACTGACTCACTTTGAATTAGTTGTACAAGTATGCACAAGAGATATTAGAGTTAGATACCCCAGCTTTAAGAACAGATGTTTACTATCAAATCCCTTTTAGTTTTACTATTTGAACGCCAATCTTTTAAATTTGCAAGCAATACACTATTAAAAACGAATATAAAATGACCAATTTAAGATTATGCCTGCATTTTAAAAAAGTATTCCGTTCTTAAACTTGCAAAGATTCCACTCTTCTTATCCTCAGAGCTTCATAAAGAGATTTCATGGGAAGTATAAACTCTTCTACGGGTCCTCAAATAATCCGCTGCATATTCAAGTGAACTTTTGGAAAGATTATAGAGTCCCATTTTCAGGCTTCAATTACTAAAAATGTGCGTTTCACTTCGGAGTTAGTTTTATTAGGTTGTTTTTTAGAGGCAGATGTGAGTTCTTTTTCCCTCACATTTACAAGCACCTGTGGCCTCTTCGTCCGTCTGATCTGGCATCACACTGACACGTTCACCTAAAGACAGAAGCTGAGATGTTCCGGGCCGATCGGGATGGACACTTTAATACCACAACATGACGCTTACCTGTCAAGTCAGATAGGGCAATACATGTCACGTTCCTATTCTACAATATTATTTTATTTATTCAAAAGTGATAACATGATTTGGAGCCTTGTGTATGCTTTGTAACATTAGGCACCATTAAAATACAGTACAAAGAAGATGTTAGGTTTTTATGACATGTGTATGTTTTTGTGGCTTTTAATCATGTGGAATATGTAGTTCAATTCGGGCGTTCTGCTCTCCCAAAATTCCATCCGATGGGCGGGGGAGCGACTGAATTTTGCGTTGCATTATGGGTAACACTTGCCTTCGCAACTTCCGGTTCTCTCTGCCCGGCGCATTTTCTCTAAATGGTTGAGTGTTTTTGTCATTTTCTGTATGCAAATACATTCCCGTCTCTAACTAGTGGCATATCGCGCAAATCATCCGTCCAATTCACATTCTTCCCTCTTAGCTGAACTTCATTCTCATTGTTACCATCTGTCACTCGCACACACAGCCGTTTTCGTTCACTCTGCTCGCTGTCATCTTCTTCTAAATCTTCATAAACACCATCCGCTCGTTGAACTAGCAACAACAATTCCTCCTTTCGTTTTCCCACACTGCAAATACCCTTTCGCTTCAACCTTTCACGCAATTCAGGCACTGTCAATCGCTTGTTGTTTTCGTGAGCCATATTCGCCATTGTATGAAATCAACCGGAAGTGAACTGGGCAACAAACGGTGTCATTTTTTGATCACAGCGCCGCTCAGTGGATGAAATTTTGGGAGAGCAGAACGCCCGAATTGTTACACGAGGACTTACAAAATTATGAAACTCGTAACAGTCCCTTACTGCTAATTTACACAGGAGGCGTTACAGGACGTACGCGTTATACGCGCAGCAGACGCGCGTAACATTTTTCCATGTTAACCAATGGGGATATTTACACTACTAGTGTTATACGCACGTATGACGGACGTATTGACGCGAGGCTGGGCCTAATTTAGGATGGATTTCTAATTTTGTGCGCCCAGCAACGCGTCTCCCATTGAAAACACATGTAAAACATGATTTTTTTAGTGACCCTTGGCTTTAGAGCTGACGAATATTCACAAAATGCTGCACATCAGACAAAAGAATATGCACTCAGGAAAAAACCCCAAGGACACAAGATAGTACAGGAATCATAAAGATGACCAGCTTACAAAACCAGACAATTATTGACTCTAAGTATAAACAGTGTTCTCTCCCACTTTTGGCAGAGCAAAGTCCAACACAATCAGGCGCCGCAGAGGTGGGGGCATTGTTTGCTAAGACTGATATGGAAGACCAAAACCAAGACCAAAATCCAGACCAGAGACCAGACCAGAGACCAGTCTCAGTCCATGTGACGTCATCGGACATGTTGATAAAACTGGGGGTAGGATATTTTGAGCAGTCTGAGCAGGGATAGATAGACAGGGAACATCGCAGAGCGCCTGCACATTTTTCAGGCCTGGAGGGAAAGTTTAGAATGGCTCAGCATAGGGTTAGTTTTAGAGAATTAATGGCTCCAAGAGTTTTGTATCGATATTTAATTGTAAAGAGAATTAAATGTTCTATTTTTAACTCTTGCATCTTTGTCTTACTTCTGCATCAACTTTGAACACGTCTGTCAAGGGTATTTTTGACAACAGAGCGCATCTACACACACACAGCACTTGTGTCTAAACATTAGCAGGAGGACTGACAGGTTTTACAGTGATTCTGGACATCGTTTTTTTTCTTTCATAAAGTCTTACGTCTGGCCAAACCAGCGCACAGAGACCATGAAGACAAACACATGCATGTGATTTGTGTTGCTCTACATCAGTCCTCTGGCCTGTACTGTCCTCTACACTTCTCCTGTCATGGAAGTTTCTATCCACAGTAAGGAAAAAACTGGAAAGGTATTTGTCTTAATCAGGAGCGTAAGTTTATTATAACACACGTGCGGAGAACTCACATACACAAAATAGCGTACATCAGTTCTGCCGGGGCCAGTCCCAGGTCCCCGTTTACATAGACAACACATGAAAGACAGTCACGCCCACAAAAGGTGGGAGGGGTCACAGTTTGAGACGGGCATCCAGATGGCGGGGCGCCTTGCCTGGTGAGAGACAATCTTTGTGCCATGGAGATGCAAACAGAAGGGACAATAGACATGCAGAATGTAAAAGGGACATAGAGATGCAGACATACGGACCGATAGAGATGCAAAATGCAAAAGGGGCAAAGGTGAGATAGTAATTTGCGTCATGTCTGTCGGTGCAGGGGGGAGACCGGTTCCTTCCTGCAGGTTAATTGAATAGAACAGCGGGGGGTGAGTTGGCGTCCTTGAGGCTAACCAACTTGCCATAACACTCCTCTCCCGTGATAATGTAGAAACCCCAGTTTTACAGAAATCACATTCAGGTGGGTGAGTTTTGACCTTGGTCCCTGAGCAAAACAAGAGTTGTTGATGGACAGGCTACGCTGCCGTCACCCAAGCCTCTTGTATTACGAGGGTGTGGTCAAAGCTCTTCACTGTGATACCCTCCCCCTAAATTGTAGGCGGAACAAGTGGAAAAATAAAAACAAGGTAAACAAAAAGGAAAAACGTTAGACAAAGTCGTCGTCCGAATCGCTGATATAATCAGAATCGGGGTTCAGTGGGACAGCGGCCAGGTCCGCCTCAGGGTCTTTGTATTGAATGGACACAAAGTGAGTGGATATCATTTTACCAACGGCCCGAAACACCATAGGTAATACACATGAAAATAAAATCATAACAGTCAATAGGGCTAAACCAAGATTAATGAGCACACTCCGCCAGGAGGACAGGAGCCAGTCCAGACCGTGAGGAGTGTCCGTGACATTGTCCGCTTGCATGGCGTCCCGGAGTCTAGTCAGATTGGCTATGCCCTGTTGGATAAGACCTCCGTCCTCATCATTAGCCGGAATATATGTACAGCAGGACGACCCAATGATCGTGCCTACGCCTCCCACAGACGCGGTCAGGTGGTCCAGGACCAACCGGTCCTGAAGAACAACGGCACGTAGGTCGTGAAGTTCAACTCTCTGTGATTCAAGTATGGCCACTGTGGTATTGACAAAACCTGAGAACCTATAGCTCAGGGTCTCCGTCCTTAGCATTAGTTTACCTACACCTAGGCTGGGGAATAATGCTAACATTATTTTCTGACCTGTGGTCCATAATTTGTGGTCATCGGGTACATTAGTGCCCCACAGGGGGTCGTGTGGTGTGTAGAGTTCTCTCTTGTCTCGGTGTTGGGCCTTAGGGAGTGTGGAGATGATGTACGAATGGTCGGCAGGAAGGGCGGCCGCACAGCGTCCCTCCCATCTTGCGGGCAGACAGTCATACATGCGATATCCACACAGATACATGTGAGACTCTACGGGCCGCGTTCCTAAAATGTCTGGTACCGTATAGTACGGGGCACACACGCTTCCCGGGGCTGCCTGGGAATCGTTAAGTTTGCTACTGTTGGCCA